CTTGATGCTGTCAATGCATCAGCCCCTGGCTGGGGCTAATTTACCAGATCTAGCAAAGCCAGCTGCACAGCTTGTCTGGGATCTGCTGGCAGGAGAGAGACGGCAACCGGCAGAGTTTGGGCCGGGGCGGCTTTAAAATGAACATCGCGGATCAGGGTTGCAGAGGGCTGTGCGGGGGGAAATTCGGGGGCCTGGGAACAGCTGCCTGCTGGGCCTGTGTCTCCATGTCCAAGCTGAACGGTATGTGGAGAACGTGGACAGCCACGCTGGGTCCTGGAGCACGCGTGTGGAGCGTGCATGCACGTAGATTATCCGTGTACGCGCACGTGGACCGTGATACCCAGGCTACCTGACTCCCACTGGGGTTTGGATCCGGGACGAGGCCTGTGCTGTTGCTAGCATGGGATTTTCGAATAGGCTGGAGGAGCATGGCTTGTCAGTGGGGCCCATGCTCCTAAATCACTTCAGCACTGGCGACAGTCTCCCACTTAAGAGCCAGCAGTGGCTCCGGGCCTTTCTGTGGACCAGTGAGGCTGGGTGCCGTGTGCCACACGCTGCTGTGGACGGGTGGTCACCAGGACCTGGCCCCTGCCCCTTGCTGCAGCTCGGGCGGCCTGGGCAGCACGGGGTGCAGCGTAGCAAGCTGGGAGCCTCCATGGGGCTCTGGCCAAGTGTGCAGAGCGATCCAGGGGGCACGGGGTGCCAGGCCTGCCCTCCTGGGCTGGTTGGATGGGGAGGGGACCCTGCGACGTGGGGTAAGAGAGTGGACGGCTATGGGACAGCTGAACACCCTCCAGCCTAGAGCCCTTGAGCACGTGCTCGTCTGGGGCAGCTGCAGCGGAGCGGCGCCCTGCCATGGTGGCCAGCCCCTGGGCACAGCAGGGCAGCCCCTCCATGCCAGGGCCCTGCAGCCTGTCCCATGCTCTCTGGGCCAGAGGGACAGCCCCCGTGGGAGCTGGGACGGGGCGGGGAATTGCTGCTTCTCCTGAGCAGTCCTGGGCTTCGGGGCAAGGCTGGCGTGGCACTTGCAGGCAAGGCTGCAGCTTGCTAGTGCCTTCATCCACGAGCCCTGCTTGCCAGGCTGGGTGGGAGCTGGACCCTGCGGTCCCGACGGGTCGCTCAGGCAATAGCCCCCATGCAGTTGGGAGCCAGGGGCTCACGGCAGAGGTTGAGCAAGAAGGGCAGGCTCCCAAGACACGGGAGGCAGGGGATAGGGTCCCTGCAGCCCGCCCACGAGGAAGGGTGGGGATGAGCAGCGATGCTCCTGCATCCACAACACACAGCACCTTGGCTACCACGACCTCCACCCCTCCTTAATGCTGACATGGCATGACATCACTGGAAGTGCTTGGGTTCACAGGATGACATCATGACCGTGACACACTCAGGGCAGGGCCACTCCGTGCCTGCTGGCTGGCTGGGCAGGGATGACGTCGCGGTGGCGCGCTCAGGGCGGTGGAGGCCTTTGCCGACCCCCGGCTCGGTCCCCTGGAGCACAGGGCTGTAGGTCCGACAGGCGCCGATGGGCACAGAGGCCAGAACAACCGCAGCCTCCTCTGCTTTCAAGGAGCCCTTTGAGCCCGATACGGCCGTGGCCGCCCCCCCGGTGACGCGCTCCCTTCTCCCCAGGCGCGGGGAGCCGAGCGCAGCATGCAGGCAGCGAATAGTAGCTCCTTGTTTGTGCTGCCTCTTCCCTCCCCATGCGGCGCTGGGCAGGAACAGGAGCCGGGCTGTCCAGCATGAGTGTAAATATTGCATTTTCCTGTGCGGTTGCGGAGCCCCAGCAGTGAATGTGCCTCTCACAGGCCGGTGGCACAGAAGCCCCTTTCATAACCGGCATGGAGCCTCCCAGAAAGGGAAGCCAGCTCCAAGGTCTGGGCCCTCAAACAGGGTGCTTGAGGCTGGGGAGGAGCTGCCCAAGGAGGCATTGGTGCAGCGGGGGAAGCAGCCGTCATCTCCTGGTAAGACCCCGCACCCTGCGGGAAGGGCAGAGCACCGATCAGAGGCTCCTTCATTTCCAATGCAGAGGCCTCATACTGCGGTCACAATCTGGGGCACGCGCAGGCACGGGAGGGGGATCTGCTACCAAGACGGCGAGCCCGGATCTCGGCGCACACACGCCGTCCTCTGTCGAGAAACATCCCTGGGGGAAGCCCCCCGGCCGGCACTGCTGTAGCCCCAGGCGAGGTGCAGCACAGACCTCTGGACCCTCTCCGCCAGCCGGGGGGTCTGGAGCCCCTGACCCTCAGGCGCGCCAAGGCAGACGGAGCCAGCTGCACTGCGGCATGCAGCAGGACTGCCGAGACGCTGCACCTGCCCCAACTCCCGCAGCATCTTCCTCCTGCTGGAGGAGGAGGAGGAGGATGGGAAGAGGCCTTGGGGCATGCCACCCACCGCTTTCGCCAGGTACATGCTGCCAGGGACCACGTGCCTCCAAGAACATGTTGGGACTGGCGCCCTGCCCGTTCCCCAGTGGTACTGAAAGACGAGCGCTACCGGTTCCCGATACAATCGCTCCCTGCCTTTGTTACCAACTCATCACCTGTCAGGTGCCATTGGCCCCGGGCACTTTGCTCATCACTTCACACCCAAGCCACCCTCCCACCGCTAGCTGCTGACCGCGGAGGACAGGGCGCACGTTCCCCATCGCGGCCCAGAGCAGAAGCGCCTTCCGGGAGCTGGGAGCTCCAGCCAGGGCAGTGGAAGGAGAGTCAAGTTTAAGCAGAGGGAGACTTGCAAGTTTCTTGGGGAGATGAAGCCACTTATTCCGCAGGGTGCGGCTCTAGCCCAGAGATACCAAAGCGCCCGATTCGAGTGGGGTGCGACCACCACCAAGGTCGCGGGTTTGATCTCCATACGGGACAAGACCTTTCTTGCCTCAAGGGGTTGGACTACGTGACCTGGAGGTCCCTTCCAGCCCCATTTCTCTAGCCTTTAACTGGGTTACCGTGCCAGGGGCTTGGAGCCTGTGGGTGGCATTACCAGCAGCCTCGCGACCTCCCTACTAGCTGCTCCGACCCATGCCTGGACGTGGGGCTGAGCTACCATCAGCATCCCAGCTGCGGCACCAGGTGAAACCTCACCACGGGGTTCAATGCTTGAGAGCCAAAGCATCATTTGTATTCACTGAACCCATCTCACCTGCTCAGCCAGGAAGATGCCAGCCGTCTCGTGTCTCCATGTTTGCCATGCCCGCTCTGCTGCTTGCAGCCTGCCCCACTTGGAAGTTGGCATCGGCCGGGCAGTTTCCCTACTTCAGTCCCTTCCGCGCTCAGGCTGGGCAGCACAAGGCTGCTGTCTCTAGGGCTTGCCACAATGCAGCCCAGGAATGTTTTGCTCAGACAAAAGCACTGTTTTCCTTGGCATGGCAAACACAGGGTAACGTTTCCATGATTACTGGGCTCTGATCAGCCAGACCTGCATCTGCTGCGCGGGGATGGCGCTACAACGCAAGGAGCGGTTCTGTCTTAATTAACAGCCTCCAAGATGCAAAGGCCCGGCCTTTGGCACGTACTGTGCATTTGGGATGGGAGCGGTGAAATGCCCTGGTGTCTGCACCGCGGAAACCACCAGGCTTTTGGCAATGGCTGGCCGCCTGTTTTTTGGCAGGGCCCAGCCACGAGGCCAAGGACTCAGACCGCAGAGACTGAGCTCCCCTTTTCATTCTCGGGGGTGGCCTTGTTCCACATCAGGGCTGAGGCATGCGGAGGGGACAGGGAGGAAGGGAAGGGAAAGCTAGAGCAATGCAAGGGTACCATGCTCCGCTGCAGCACACACAGGGCTCCTGTCTCCAGGGTCCCCTTCCAGCAGCCCACAGCTCCAGGTAAAGCCCCTGAGTGGATCAAAACAGCACAAATACAAGCCCATTCTCTAGTCACCCCAGCAAACCCAGGGCAGATAGGAGCTCAGGCTTAGCAGGGACCAGCCTCCAGGCCCTGTCTCCCAAGCCAAGGCTGCTCTGAGCCAAGGAGGGGACAGTCACAGCCAGCATCCATTGGATTCCCCGAGCGAGACCCCAGGTCACAGCAGACATGCCACATCCCTGCCTCTGTGGAGCACGTGCACGGGGCATCTGTCCCACAGCCTCCCAGCACCCAGCCCCTTTCCTGTGCAGCTGAGAGCTCAGATGCACCCCAGAGGGTCACAGGGAAGAAAATCAGGAGCACCCCAGGCATTCATCACTCACCTCTCACACAGCTCCTCCATCCTGTAGCAGCCCAGCCCAAGCTGGACATCTTTTATTTGTATTGGGCAGCTGGCTCACAGCTGGAGCAGCTAATGAGGTCCTTAGTTAACCCTTTCCAGCCCCAAGTAGATGGGCCTAGAGCAGCTCTGTCACCACCGCCTCCAGGCCCCTCGGCAGCACTGCTGCCTTGGCCCACGTGATGCCCCTGATACTTCCCCATTGAAACAGGAGATGAAGTGAAGAGATTTGCCCAGGGCTACGCAGTGAGTCAGTGGCAGAGCCAGCAGTGTGGGGACAATCCCCTGAGTTAAAGCCTAGGGCATGTTCGCACTGCAGAGGTCATGCAGCCGGCAGCCTGAGCCCTGGGCGGGGGGTCTGAGCCCGGAGAGCTGTTGCAGATCTCCTGTCTTGGGCTGTGCAGGTCGTTTCTTGGTCTCTCAGCCTCAGTTTTCCTCAGATAAAGAGCTGGGTCTTTCTGATTGCAGGGGCCGGGGGTGGGGGGCAAGAAGCATA